ATATATATAGAGATCTATATATATATATATATATATATATATATATATATATATATATATATATATATATATATATAAATTTTCCAAGTGTACGAGCAAGGAGTGCAATAGTTTAAATTTCGTTAAGAGTATCTGTGTTTTATGATACGGATATGTATTTGTGTATAACTCAAGTGTACGGGGTGAACGTGCAATTTGGTTGATACTTTTATATACACCGTGCACACACTTTGCACCATAATCTCTTTGTACATATACACTACGTTTATATATAATCTATGTGCTCACAAATACATTCTACTACGTTTATATATACTCTATGTGCTCACAAATACATTCTACTTATAATTTTATCTGTACTTAATACCTATACATACGTGTAGGGTAACAAAGAAGCTGCGTTCTACAAAGAAGTGCTGGAATCGGTCAGGCGTGCGGTTGCCGAGAAACTCGACATGAACAACGTCGTGGTGGAGATCAACTCATCCAAGCACGCATACAATGTAACCCCTGCGGCTGTGCTAGAGACTGTGGTCAAGGCTACACTGGAGGACGCCATCCCTTACACAGGTATATATATATATATATATATATATATATATATATATATATATATATATGTATGTATGTATGTATGTATGTATGTATGTATAAACCACTTTTATCATACCTCATGTATATGTTATACCAACTTCAGACCACAGGCGCATTTCACTTCATTGTCTTTTCTGGGTACACTACCAATCCTGTTTTAAAAGCACCTCGAACCTTCCACCTTATCTTGCATATGCTACCTATCTCGAAGAATAAGTATATCATACCCCATTCATTTTACCTTTCTCCCGTACACTTACTACCAATCTCGTACCACAGGCACCGAGATGCTCAATAAAGCGCTGGAGGTAACGAAGGAGTGTATGGAGCTGCTAGAGAACTATGTGCGATCCCCCGCCGATCAACAGATACTGTTGGACGTCCTCGAGGACTACTGTGAATTGAACCCAGCATTCGTGGATTCTCTGCAAAAGATACTCACGGTAGGGGCAGGCGGTGGTAGTGTGCTTAGTCTCTTTACTCGTGATTGGGATCCTGGTGGTTTATTGCAGTAGGTTGTGAAATACACTAGCCGCATATGTGTCCATTTTGTTTTACATTTGGACTTGTAGTGCGCGTTGGGGTAGTATACAATTATATATATATATATATATATATATATATATATATATATATATATATATATATATATATATATATATATATATATATATATATATATATATATATATATATATATATATATATATA